TCCGTTGAACTTAGGCCTGGGTTCCAAGGAACCCAGCGGCGAACTAGTTGGGTTCCTTCAAGGCCAGGTTCTGTCGAACCCAGGCCTGGGTTCCAAGGAACTTAGTGGCGAACCAGTTGGGTTTTTCGAACCCACGCCTGAGTTCGAGGGAACCCAGTGCCTGGGTTCCATAACACCCGAGTTCTGTCGAACCTAGGCCGGGGTTCCATGGAACCTAGCAACGGGTTCCAAGGAACCCAAACCTAGGTTTGACGGAACCCAGCATTGGGTTCCAAGGAACCCATGGAACCCAAGACCCCAAGGGAAAGAGAAGGAAAAAGAAGGAAAAAGAAAAAAGAAGGAATTAAAAAAAAAATTTGTCATATAAATATTTTTTTCCATGTCACTATTTTATGCCAAATTGTCTTCCACGTGTATTAATATATTACCATGTCATCATGTTACAGTAAATTAACTGAACACCGTAGGTAGAATTTTAATGGAAGGACCAAATCGAGGTTAAAATAATCAGTGTTTTAAAACCCGGCCCGGCCTGGCCGGTTGAACCGGTTCAACCGGACCCGGGCATAAAAACGGGCCGAGTGCATGCTTCGGCCCGTTTTGAGAGTTGGCCCGTCCAAACCCGTTCGACTCGTTCGACCCGCGCCAACCGCCCAACCCGTTCCACCCGCCGGGCACCACCTCATCTCCTTCGTGAGCAGCCACAGCAAACGCAGCCTGGTCTCCATCGAAACCAAGAGTCCATGGTAACAGACCTGACGAAAGAAATATAGACATCGAGACCACAGTGCTTGCCAGAGCACTCCAAACACATGAAGATGCCATAGGAGACCGAAGCCCATTGCAAATTCTTTTGGGCACAATCGACGCAGATCTTGTTCCCTGGTTAAGATTAGAGGTCATGCAACCGTCTTGACGCCGCCATCTGAATCCGATCTCAACCCATTCTTGGAGATTGAAAACGAAGATGATAGATCAAGCTCCAGAAAAAAAAGGATCAAAAGAAGGATATAAAACAAGATTCAGGAAGATTTTATTCAATTTTATTTTTTTAAAAAAAGGGGTTAAATTGGGGGGGAGGAGGAAGATTACTGATATTGTTAAAATGGTTGAGGAGTGTGGGGATGATTGGTGGTGGTGATAGATGCACGTGTTAGAAATAGGTAATTTTGGGTTGTTGTGCAAAGTGAAATGGCCTAAATTTAACATTTAGTCTATTAGTTATAGGTTTATTATCATTTTGGTTTAGAAAGTTTATTTTCTCTCAAATTGGTCTATGAACTTCAAAAAAAAAAAGCATATCAAAAGTCAAAATAATTAAGTTGTATGTATTTAATTAAATTTATTATTTTAAATTGCTTAAATGATAATTTTTAAGTTGATTTTATGATAATTATTTCTTAAAAATAGAGTGAAAATAATATATAAGAATAAAATTTAATATAAACATAAAAAAGGGTTTTTTTTAATTGACCGGTTGAACCGGTTGGGTGAACCGGTTCAACCAGTTGAACCGGACCCGGTGGCCAAAACTGGTCAGTCACCGGGCCGGGTTTTAAAACACTGAAAATAATAAACAGTAGGGACTAAATCAGATATTTTTTTAGTTTAGGGATCAAATCGAAGTCTGTACAATAATTTTGGAATCATTTTAACCTAATTTATAAGAAAGTTTAATAAAACTAAATGAAATTATAACTAAACAGAGCTTATATATATGTTGAACTAAACTATTGTATACAATA